AAAGCAAATCTATTGAAGAATGTCAGAGAGTTCTAAAAATACCCGAACTTGCACAACAATTGGCTTTTATTAAAAGTCATTTTAAATTTGTAAGTCAGTGTATTCAATTTTTAGAAAAACAGCAGCTACCCTTAGTAGAATCCGTAAATATTATAAAAAATTTTGAAGCGGCAGCAAATAGTGTCCCAGGATCTATTGGTCAAATAGTAAAAGAAAAAGTGATTCAAACTCTCTCAAAGAATGAAGGATTCCAGACATTGTACAAAATATCTACTATTTTAAATGGTGCGGAACATTGCGATTTTGAAATAGATCCAGCGATTATACCAAAATTTAAATATGCACCAATAACAAGTGTAGATGTTGAACGTAGTTTTTCTACATACAAAAACATTCTAACAGACAGGAGACATAATTTTAGCATGGAAAACTTGGAGAAACATTTAGTTATTCATTCTTTTAAGCATTAATTAAGAAATCTTTTAAGCATTGTATAATAGGAGATAGATATTCATTATGTAAACGCAATAAATTGTAAAATATAAATATTAAATATATTATTATCATCATTATAACAAATTTTTATGTATTTTTTCTCTATTATCGTTTTTTGCTTAATTTTGTTTATTCTATGCTTTTTTAACAGATTGTGTGCCTTTTAAGAACTTTTTGTTTAAGATTTTTTAAGCACTTTTTTCCAGTTTTTTTACACTTTTTTATCCGGTCTCTACATATAATATAGGAATTTTTTTTGATTAGAATGGTTTCATTACCACTATCCGGATGTTTAATTAAGAATTTTTCGGGTCTTTAATCTCGTTAAGATTGTTGTATTGTTGATTATATTGTATGGTTGTATGCAATGTGTATTGAATATACATATACTGAGTTTATATAGTTATAGTCCATACCTTTAACTGTATTTATAATACAGTTAGTATATATAACTACGTTTATTTACTTCACTAGGCTTTAGTTCTTAAATTTAAAAAATTAACATCACATATTCACATTTCTATTTGATTTTTCTTGCACGGTTCATAACGAATCATTACAATTCTTTCTTTATTTTGTAACCCGAAGGATTATCTATAAGATGGTATATAAGACTTTACTTACTTCCACTGACTTTAGAAATATTGACTATCAAATGAGGAATGTGACAAAAATGAGGTAACATAGTGGCTTAAATTCGGGATTAAACCTCAATATTTTCACGCTTCGAAAGTGTTCAAAGTTTTTATAATTTATATATTAGTCGGCCGTTCCGTATTTTATTCGTTATTGTTATTCAGTTGTTCTATCGAGTTGTTGTTGACGTCAAGAAAAGTGTAATAAAATCGTTCCGTGCAATTTTCGTTAAAAAAGTAGTTTCAATTGTGTTAATAGATACACACGTTCGATAAAAGGCATTTCGGCTTTTATTTTCTATTCGAAGAGATACTTCTACTTATTCTACAAGAACAGTAAGACTTTTCCTTTTTTTGATAGATTTTTTTAACACCCGGGTTTTTAAGTAACTTTCTAAAAGCGTCTCAGATATTTCCCGCGCCGCGCCGGTCTCGATTATTTCTTAACAGAAAGAAAAGCAGAAGTGATATGATTATGGCAATTTCATACCTCAAGTAAAGTGGATTCATATCCTCATTGTCAAACCCTAATGAAATGAAGAGTGTCACAAACGCAGATACAAACTTTAAATAAAAATTTCAATAGAATTTATGCGCGATATTAAATTTCTGCCCCCTAATTTATATTTTTTTAAAATATAATTAAATTTGTATAGTAAAAAGGCTATTTCATTTATTATAATAAACGGTTGGTTTATAAACTACACATTCTACAATTTATATTACAATTTAATTGTAACAAAAACACATAAATAGACATGAATCCATAAAAATTCATTAAATACTCCAAATTAATCGACTAGAACGTTTTTCTTGCAATCAATTACAAAACAGGTTTGTACATGAACCTCCTAAATAAACAAACTTGACTACAAAGTCTACATATTTTCATGACTACAAAGAAATTATTGATTAATTTCATGCATTTATCCTATTATTCTGTAAAATGCCAGTTTACATATACAGTGTGTCCGTAAAGTAATGGATATAGGCGATAAAATCATTATAAACGGTTTATGAAAAAATCCCTGAAACGGGTCTACAGATTTAAATTTTTTAGTGTCGATTTTAATTTTTCTCCGCCATTTTTAAACGAGTTATGACGTCATCGATATTTTTTTCAAATGGCAATCTTATTAGGGAATATGATTTTTTTTCTGAATCTAGTATAGTCAATATTAATATTGGTTACATAAGAAAATTTTCGAAAAAAATTACTTTAAAGTTTAACTGCTTCAAATTTGATGACATGATAAAAATAGCAGTAAGCATGAGTAACTACGCTAACCAATTATATGTATTAAACATTTTCCTAAGTGTCAAAAACTGATTTAGTAAGTAGTTGTTTCAGGAGAGGTTCAACAAAACGTGGTTTTGCTGGGTAAGAAAACCCTCATGTTACTTCTATTGGGTCTAATTTCAACATTAGTAAATCAACGGTTCACAAAATTTTAAAACTCACAAAATATCATTCCCATAAAGTAAATGTCATTCACGGGCAATGAATCGTAGTTTTTGCAACAACAATTTTGCAACGATGAAGAAGACTGTCAAAAACATAATTTTTTCCGTCGAAGGAACATATACACTGAGTGGACAAGTAAAATAGACAAAATTGTTGGTATTGGGTTAGCCAAAATCCAAATTCGCCAAGAAAGTCGCACACCCAATATCCGCAAAAGATTTGAGGAAACCTTAACTGGAAAGAGATATTTAAATTTTTTCAAAACGTTGTCAATCCATCCATCCCGATAATGTTGACCCAACTCAATTCCAAGAGCAGTTATTCCAACAAGATGGCGCGTCACCA